AGGTCTGGAAGCTTTTTTTTCAATGCCCTGCTTTTAGTGCACCGGTCCTTAATAACGCACCCGAAGGCACTTATTACTTGTTTTTATTACCTATTTATTCGTTTTTACCTCCCTTTTAAAAAAATTAATATAAGCGTTATTTTATGTTAGTGGTGGCATTTTATGTCCTTATTGTGGATTTACAGCAAGAAAAATAAATGTGACTTTTTGAACTTTTTTTTTTTGCTTTCTTAAATTGATCTTTTCTTAAAGGGGGAAGAGAAAAAAAAAAGTTATGCCCTTTTCCGTGTTTGTCATTTTAGTGTCTGTCACATTTCAGTGCTTTGTCACCATTCATGACGAAGGATTTCATTACGTCAGAAAAATGCGGTCGTAGACTCGCATTATCATGACAGCTTATTTTACGAAGAGCAAGTGTTAAAAGAAAGGAAAAAGTTATTTCAGAAGACTTTTTCAGTAATTTAAAATATTATTATTTTATTTATTTATTTATTTGATAATAAGTAGGGTATTCTTGCGTTTAATTTTTTTTTTGTGCATGGCAATATTAATATAAATTATATCAATTGTTATATATGTTAATATCAATTAACTATCATTTAATTAATTGATAATAATCAACAATCAATTAACAGATAATTAACTTGCGCGCCATTAATATTAACTTTCAAGCTTAATTTTATTAGTTAATATCAATTTACAAATTAAATAAACCTCGAAAGTTAACATTAGTCAAAATATGTTTATTGTCATAAGTCACGTACGTTTGAGCCCTTTTATGGTTGAGATAATCCATCAGATAAAAAAAGAATCACGGAGAAAAGTTATGTCAAATACTATAAATATAAAAAAAATATGTCACAATAGATTTTTTTAAAATTATTTATCCTCAAAGTAATCCATTATAACTGAATATAATACACACACTAAGAAAATCTAATGCACGTAGCAATTATAGTTTTTGAAGAATATCTTTAATATGCAAGTAGGTTTATATAACATTTTCTCTCAAATCCTATCGGTACGCTGAACCATAATACGATTAAGATTTGCAATATTAATTAAAACATGTTTTTGTTAAAGAAGAACTATGCTAGTACGGGTCCACTGAGCTCCATATTAACCAGTTATAATCCAGTCTCAAAAATTGGTCTACGTTTGAGAAACACATGTAAGAAGAAAGTGATATTAAATATTTGTTAATCAAATTGATATTTCTTACTCTTAACTTATAAAAAAAAAATACTAACAATTTAAAAAAAACACATAAATAAATAAAAAAAAATACTGCTTTATTTATTTATTGTTACACATGCATATTCAGGTTTACGTGCTTCATTACAATTGGCAAGTTGAAGAATTAATTGTACAAAATAGAGAGGGACACCATCAAATCACAAAAGTATCGATTGGCAGAATAAGTGAAGTACTTTGACTTCAAATCCGAAAATAAATATTTATATTTTTAATATATTTTAGCAGACAGAACTATCTTAATGTTTAATAAGAGCGTTCGCCTTCCAATGAGGTGAACCGGGGTTCGATCCCGGCGATAGCTGATCGATACGAATTCCGCCTCCGACTTGCACCGACCACAGTGCTGACGTGAAATATCCTCAGTGGTAGACGGATCATGGGTTAGAGTCCCCTTGCCTTCAGGCTAACCGCGGAAGGTTCTCACGGTTTTCCTCTCCGTGTAACGCAAATGCGGGTTAGTTCCATCAAAAAGTCTTCCAAGAAGGCAAATATTTCCCAATACTTGATAAAGAAGTTTCCTTTTCTTCTGGATTGGGTTCAAAATTACAAGGCTAAACGAAATTGAACATTTTTTTATTTTTATTTCCAATGAGCTGCACAATCGGTCTTGCCGATGAGCAGACCTAGTGCGTTCTCCAGAGGTGGTATCCACTCTTTCAGGACCACCACAATGGGTGAGATACCGTTGGTCATGTTAATTTTGACGTCTAGTTTCTGCCACACTAGATGGCAGCACCGAGACTCTATTTGGATGCTGAAGTGCACTAGGAATTTAATTTTGCCGGAAATGCCAATAAGGCACTCCAGGGATCTTTTACATTCCGCATAATTATACGACATGGCCGCTGAGGATTTTCTGCATCCCGAAAATCCGGTGTCTGGGCCGGGGATCGAACCCGCAGACTTGGGCTCAGAAGGCCGACGACAAACCAACTGCACCACCCAGCCACGAAATTGAACATTAGTAGCCGTAAATCCCATATTGGATTGGCTGTTCAACGACGGTTATACTATCTTATTGTTTCTACAAAATTATTTCCAAGAATGAAACAGTTGTGATACCACTTTTATCTTTTTTTCGAAAAAAAAAAATAAGTCGTTATTTTAAAAGGTCGCAGGGCACAAACGGGTTAAAATTGAAGCAAATTTGAATAGTTTGAATTTTATGATTCAACGCGTATCACAATTTCTAACAGTATATAATGTACAGAGCCCCATCTAAAAATACTATAATAATAGACTCAATAATACATTAATAGAAATAATACAAGAAACTCAATAGTTTAATACAATAATAGTAATAAAAAGTAAAAAGACCTCTAATAAGTTTAAAGACAATTACAGTTACATAAGTTTCCTTTCTACTTCTAGAAATTTTTTAATTTCTCATATAAAATTATAAAAGTTAGCTAATGGTTGTTTTTTTTATTAACTTCAATACTGCTCTAAGAAATATAGAAAAGCTTTTTAAAAATAAAATTAACTATTAGTATATTGAAATTTTCGAACTAAACTAATCGCACAATGTTTGTAAAGTAAAATAACTTGCAAATTTTAAAAATAAATTAAGTATTCATTGCTTTCAAAATTCGATTTAAAAACAATACAATTCAACTGTCTTGAGAGATTAATTCAGTATGATTAATATTATTGAAATTATTACAATTTATTGATAATATAGTTAAATAGTTTATTTAGTTAATTTTAATTGCATTCATCTTAAACTCCTATTTCCTAACATGACGACTATAATTTCTCGAGATTTATGAAGTTATCTGATTATTTGAAAATTATTTGAAATTTCGCAGGTAGATTTTCCATACAATTAACCTCGTCTGAACTGCTGGCATTTTCGTTATTGTTATTATTCCAGGTATAGCAAGTATTAAAAAAAAAGAATAAATAATAATACGAATAAAAAATTAGGCAAAAAATTGCTTTAAAGCGTGCATTTCTACGGTATCAACACATAAAGATAAAAAAAAAAGAAGAAAAAGCATTTGAATTTTTAACTGAATTTCTTATTCAGTGGTTATAGCGAGGCACATGCCAAGAAACGAATGAACTCTTGCCTGCTGTTTCTTATTGGAAGTATATTATTATTTTGATTTGCATATTCTTAAAATGCCTCAGACAATATTTCCAAAACGTGACGAAAATATTTATTATCAAGTTTTCTGCGTAATAGTTAGAAAATTGTAAATGCACATATTCAGGAGCACCGAATTTATTTTTTTAGTTATAAAACGGCAAAAAAGAAGGAAAAAAATGAGGAAGGCATTCCATAAAAATTTGCAGGTTAAAATTAATTAAATGCAGGGTTTATAGCAATAGAATTTGCTTTTTGTTATTTTTAAGTAGAGCAAACTAAGTTTTATTTTTATTTTTTAGCTCTTAAGTTTTCCCATTTCGAAAGCAATCTGGTTTATCAAATAATATCCTGTTTCAAAAATTGTTGTGAAATTTTATTATTGTAATATTTTTATTTTTTATTTTGAGAAATGCCTGGTTTTTCCTTTGGCCCACTACGAGGTATGATGTCAGTTTTTCAAAACCCAATTTGCTCATATCTATCTCTACGTGTCAGTTAATAAAAAGGACAAAACACTTCGTAAAAATAGATATTAACAGTTTTTTTATGTGGGAAAGTATTTATAAAGTTTCTAGCCTTTTATATAACATCAAAGTTCCCATGAATCTTTAAAATTTTGTTGGGGAAAATGAAGCAAACCTCGATATTTTCAATATATTTGTGATCACCATTGCATGAGCTTTTCCTAAGGTTATGTATGACTTGTGATCTGCCAAACGAATAAATAAAAAAACAATAAATTCTGATATGTATTAATTCAAATTTACTACCGCAATTATAAATTTGTCAAACCTGTAGGAATGCTGAGAAAATCACATTATAATACAATAAAACCCTTCTTCTTCAAAATTTATTTGCCCTAAACTTCTTTAATTTTCTAGATCGTTTTAATGAGACAAAACACCAATTTATTGCTAGAAATTTTTAATAACAATTTTTAATAACACTTTTTAATAACAATTAATAATCTAGAAAATTTTTTTTCTAGATTATTTCCTTGCAGAACTTGTACAACTCTAACTCTAGTTACTTTTCTATAAGGATTTGAAATGTTGAACAAGCCTGATTTACAATGATTTTTTTAAAAATAAATAAAAAAAAAATTGCATAAAAAAATTTATAAATAAATAAAAAAAAATTCTTGTTAGTGACATAAATAAGAAAAAAGAATTATTTTTTCAATATTTAATAGTTTTTTCAGTTCGAAATTCATAATAAGAGATTTCGGAGCAGTTATAAATATTTGTTGTGGGTTATAAATATCATAATAAAACACATTAGGTTTTGCCACTACTTTTAAAAGATCATTCTAATCCTGATTGTTTTTCCTCCTTTTTCAAAAAGCAAAACTGATAAAAAAAAAAAAAACTTAAAATTTTCATTTAAAAAAATTTTTTTACCCCGATCTTCCAATAATTTATTCTTTTTTTCTAAGAAAAAGTAAAATCCGCAATGACATTTCGCAATATAAACAAACAACCATTATTGACAACATAGGCGACACTTCATTTTTTTGCAGCATCACACAATCATCAGACCGTCTGGTGAGATTTCGGTAGGCAAAGCAAGCAACCGCACAGAAGCCCACCATCCAATCACGTTTCGGTCCGGCGCCGCGGCGGAAATGACGTCACAGAGATGAATGGCTGTCCTTTTAAGGGTGAGTCTCATTGTAGCGGAGGCCAGGTGGTGTACTGCTGTTGTTGTAGTTGTATCACACAAGTTATTCTGCGGATAAAAATCAACGGAGCGGCTTTGTGATTTTTTGAGAGAGAAGATTTTTATGAAAGGAGAACTTGTTCATTCCTGATATTCTTCCATCTATTTGCACCAAGGAAAAGAGGGAAAAATGGCACCTGTCTATGACTTCAGACATGTCGAACTGGATAAGATAGGCCGTGGAAAGAGGTTTGTAAACATGATTTTTTTTTTTAAAATTATTAATTGAAATTTAAGATGGTGCACTAATCCATGACTTAGCATTTCGCAGATTGTGTGATGAAATTGAAATTATTTTTCTTGGATAAATTAAATTTAGAATTCCATGACGATTCTAAAATAAAATAAAGAATGCTGCGTTTTATCCGTGGTTCAATTTATGGAAATTTGGATTAACATTTTGGGGTTATTTGATTCACTTTAGACTAGAGATAGAAATCTGATGGCAAATTCTAATAAAGGAAGAGGTTATTTATTTATCTTAATTGTATGGAGATGCATACATTATCATATCTTGATTGATTTGGGATAATTTAAAATAGTCAAATTTAAGAATATTTGGCGAAACATTTTGGGGTGGTTTGATTTACAATAAGATTAAAGATAGAATTTGATGACAAATTCTAATAAAGGAAGAGGTTATTTATTTGGTATTATTTAAAAGATGATATGGAAATGCATACATTTTCGAATTTTGTATGATTTAGGATCATTTAAGTGTTTGAGAATAAATTTTTTTAAAGAATTACTAGTTAATCAACCTACTTTAAAACTGTATTGAAATCTATCAAAGTTACACTGTAATTCCTATTGATTTTTATATTCTTTTATTATATTACAAATATGCATTATAATATTTTAATATTAGTTACGTGCAGGTGCTATGTAGATAAATTAAAATTTCCCATCTCTTTTTTTTTTAACGTCACAGTACATTAAATTATCTAAAGAATGACGTCTAATTTCAAAAATATTTAATTTATATTTTTAATGCATTCGTAAACTGATGAAACTTCATGCTAACTTGTAAATTATCGAAATCGTAAATACCGTAAGATGCCCTCATCGTTTTTTAAAATCATGCTTATTAATTAAGCATAATTATGTTATTATATTGTATTATCATTTGATTCATGAAATAAATTAAACATCAGTTGTATCTTCCTAACATTAAAAATTAACATAAATATTTTTTAAGAAGTATTTTTTACGCCTTGAGAAAGTTTTAAGAAAAGCAATTTTTCGTTGTTTTACCGGCACCCAAGGTGATTGCAGAAGCTTCTCCGCAACGCCTTCTTTTGTTTGCTTTGCGGGGAAAAAACGTTCCAAGAGATGACTTCTACTTCTACCCACTGGAGATAAGTTTTGGCGTCCTTCTTTTGTTAATCAATGACACAAAAAAACTGCAAAAAATTACTTAATAGCAGAAAAAATGTGTCAAGTTTATGGTGTATAGTTTTGTAAATTTAATGCATAAAAAAATAATTAAATTGTGTTGATATTTTCAGAAGGGAAAAAATTCAACCATCTTTGTTGTTAAACAATTAACCATTTTAAATGAGAAACTACATCATGGTGAATAAAGTTATTAGTTGTAAAGTAAATTGCATAAAATATAATGCTTTTTATCTTGACGTGTAAAATATGGAATAATTTTAATTAAATTTTTGTAACCAAATAAATTGTGCTTACGTTAAATTCTATTTTGTAAGAAATGTAGTAAAGTAATTAATTGCGCTAATAGTTTGTTAGTTGCTTATATCAATCTTGTGTGCGCTAAATAAATAGTTCGAATTAGTAGTCTTTGATTGTTAATCAATATTTTATTTATTTATTTGTACTCTATTAGTCTCAAAAGCGTAGCAATTATTTGTTGGAGGTCGTTTTTACAACAAGCTACCCTTAATTTGCATACCACACCTGAATAACCGTTCATATATAATTACATAAATAAATAGAGGCTTACGACCTTGATAATTTGCCATAATTGTCCAAGTGTTTATGGAGTAGATAATTGCTGAAAATAGGAAATAATTCAGGTCATAACTTTTTCATCAGATTAAAAAAGGTTATTAAATATGATTTTCATTTTATTATGATACTCAGTGCATAATGATTTGTGAGTAAATTTTTTTTCTCAATTTAATTGCTTAAACGGAGTAGGTTCTTGAATAGAGTCGAGCATTTGTTATTTCTTACATCAAAAATTATGACAAAATTGTCGTTTCAATAGTTTTAATTCTATATATTTATTCGTTTGGAAATTTTTTTCGTCTTGTCCTTGAGCAAGACATGTTGTGTGAAGTTTTGCAGTGTAGATTTTATCTAATTAATTCTTCACTAGATCACCTTTGCAGAATTTGGAATTTCAAATAGCTTTATCGACATTTTAAATAAATAAAGTTAGTATTATTTTTACAGACGGTGTGTTATACAATTACTTCAAGTTTAAATATCGGTGTAATTTAGTCGTCATCCAAAACAATTTTTAACTTTACAATCTGGGAACTGTTCTGTCTAATATCTATAATTCACAACATATTTTCTTGTATTAAGATAAATCAGCCATTTCAATAAACATATTTGAAATAACAGAATTTCTAAATAATCTCAATGCTTTTAAACTTTTTACACTCCATATACATTTCAGTGTGAGATTTCATTTACGTTTGTGAAATTGACAGTATACTATTAAAACGTGTTAAATGTCATGTAAATATGCAACTCCTAAGAAAAGAAAAAGAAAAAAACTAGAACAACAACACACATTAAAAAATTAATTAACAAGAACACTGTTAATGAAATTTTTGAGCTAAGACAAATATTTTCCAGTTTTAGCAATTTATATAAAATAGTTTTTAACCTAAAAGTAGATGTTCTTATGAAATATTACAAGTTGATAAGCTCGTACTGATGTAACATAAAGCCAACTGATAACTTATTATTTGTCATATCCGAAAATGATATCATATCTCAAAACATCTCATTCGTCGAAATACTTAAGTTTAATTTTTTTATTAGTTGAGTTATTTAAATATAAGGAATCTATTGTTATAAATTTATCTTATTTTCAAATTCAGAATTTAATTTGTAAAAATTGAACGCATATTTCATTTTTAAATAAATAATTTTAAAATTGTATCAAAATATTTATAAAGAAATAGCAATATATTCAAAGAACCGTGAAATGTGTATATACATACAGATCAGAGTTGCAAAAAAGCCGTATTTTTCTGAAAAAGATCAAGACGGCTGGTGTTTAGGTTTTTAATTTAAGAAACCTCCCGGTTTTTATTGACTTTTTAATATTTTATTATTCCAGATTAACTGAAACGTATTTAAATTAATTTTATTAATGACTATTCAATTAAAATAATATAAGTGAAATATGTTTCGTCAATTTTACTTTCTCTTGGAAATCATTTATTTTATAAACAGATAAAATTAGAGTAATTTTAATGATGTAATTGCTGCAACATATTTGCTTCAAAATCAGACATTTTCGTCTGAAATTGTTCTAAAGCAATTTCAATAATTTTCTGATTCATTCTAAATGTGCTATAAATTGATTCAAAGTAATTATTTTTTTTAAAATTGTACTAATTCTTCTATAAATTAGGCTCTTTTCTATAAAACTGTTCATGATTTGTTCAAAATTTTCAAAATGACTCTTTTATTTGTTTAAAGATTAGATGTATTTATATTGAATTATGTATTATTCATATACTTCGCTGCATTAAATAAGTTGACTTCTAACTGTTCTAAGTAGCTTGAAATGAATTTCCCTAACATCTCTAATGTTGAACTAAACTGTTTCAGGGGGGGGGGGGAATTACTTCTCCAAATTTTTAAATAAATTTCAATCATATCAATTAGTTACCAATTTTATCACCCTTTTATGTTATTATACAGTTTTTGAAAAATATCAGCCAACTTTTTTAGTTAAAGCCGGTCTTTTTTAAGTAGTTTGAACCAAAAAAAGAAAAGAAAACAGCTTTTTTAGACCTGACTAAATTTCGGTAACCCTGATATAAACTAATAGATATTTGTGCTTTTTTGTTTACTTAGCGTATACTTGTATAATATTGATGTTTGATATAGTTTATAGTAATGGAATAATAATTATTTAAATATGGTCACATAAATGATTTTTTACTTTTAAAATGCATTATTTTTAAAGCTAAGTAATTTGATAAACTAAACCTTGCAGTGCAACACCTAATTCAAAGTGTATACTGACTGGAGAGGTAGAGAATGAAATAAGGGACTATTTTATTTAAAAAAAGCATATATATAGCAAATATATATAGCATTATTAAATATATATATAGCTTTAGCGATACAATTGCATAATTGTATAAATATGCTATGATATATAACAGGAATCATAGAAAAAATTTGGGTCCGTTAACCCTTCTCAATTTTTTTTATCGTTAAAACAGACTTTTCTCGAAATAGTTCGCTAAAACGAAACCTTTAGAGAATATTTTGTCTTAAAAACAGACGCTTCACACAATTTTCTATCACGAAAGTGGACCGTTCACGAAATAATAGTAAATAATGTAAAATTTTAGGAAATATGTTTGATAAATGTTCAAGTTATAAATGGCGTAATACTGAAATGCTGTAACAATGTACCTCAGGTCGTTGCCACATTAAATAAATTTTACTCAATTTTGCTAACTCAGAGTTGAAATGTTTTATTTGCTATCTGCATTAATATCTTGAACTCAGTATTATCAGTATTATTATATTCGTGCGAATTCAATCCAGAAGATAAATCGCAATAATATTCCAAATATTCTATTGCCCATTCTTGAATTATTATTTTTTTCTTTCTTTACAATGTTCTCATCTTAGCGAGTTAAAGAAACTCAAATACGACTAATGTAACGCCCAATGCCTATTTACTTGCAAAAATGTGGGGAAGATTGAAGTAAAATGCTTCTTCAAAATGGCTTTTTAAGTTGTCAGAATAAAGATGATTTAAGGCTTTTTCTAGAGATTAATAAACTCAGCATTCCGCCTGTGCGTGCTCAACGAGTTGGAAAATTCCTCTCATCCGAGAGGCTGGCTTTCGTCTCTTATGACAAACTAATCTGCATATCCATGTTTGTTATGTGATTTCTACCGAGACTCCAGACTCATGTCTGGTGCTCATTACTTTAATTTTATGATTCTGTTCGCTG